TATCGTTTACCATTTTTTTTTCTTTCATCGAGAGAAAGATCAACCCGTGCGAAACGTCAATTAGCGGGGAAATTAAAACGGAAGTCCGTTAAGTAGTCGGCGAACCGTTTCCTTTTCGTTCCCATCTCAAATTCACGATACCGTTCAAATCCGAGACATTTAAAAAGGAAAAACAAAAAAAAAAAATCATCAGTTTTTAAAATAAATTTCTCATTAGAATATATGAAAATTATTTGCCAATAATTTTACTGGTGGGGGAAATTTTTTTTAATTATCTGTACACAAAATTACTAAAACAAATAAAACAATTTCTATAGTTTTGGACGTTCTAATGAACGAATTTTTTTTGTTTAAATATTTTTACAAAATAGTATTTTTGTAAAAATGTTTAAACAAAAAAAAAATTAAAAATTAAACTAATTATAGTCAGGAAATTTTATGAAAATTGTACTAAAAATAATTTAATTCATATGAAGAATTTTACTATATTTATTGAAAATAATTTAATTCTCGCATAAAATTTGATTAAAATTTTTAAAAATAATTCTATTGTTTCGTAGAATTATATTAAATTTTTTTGAAAATAATTCAATTCTTTCGCGGAATTTAATTAAAATTTTATATTGAAAATAACTAAATTCTTGTAATGAATTTAATTAAAATTTTATTAAAAATTACTATAAATTCTTGTATAATGAATTTTTTCAAAATTTTTAAAACTGTTTGAATTCATGTGAAGAATTTTTTTTTATAAAATTTTAAAAAATAATTGAATTCAGTCAAAAAATTTTATTGAAATTAAAATGAAAATAGTTTAATTTCTGCGAACAATTTTAATATTTTTGAAAATAATTAAATTCTTGCGAAAGAATTTTGATTATTTATGGAAAATAATGCAATTATTGGAAAGAATTTTATTAAAATTTTTGAAAATAGTAATTGAATTGTTTCGAAGAATTTTATTAAGATTTTTGAAAATTGTACTAAAAATAATTGAATTCATACGAAGAAATTTATTATCTATGAAAATAATTGAATTCTTTCGAAATCTTTTATTAAAATTGAATTGAAAATAATTGAATTCTGTGTAGAAATTTATTATTTATAAAAGAATTTTATTTAAATTTTTAAAAATAATTGAATTTCAACGAAGAAAAAAAATTTTTTTTTAAAAGTTATTAAAATTTCTTAAAATACTTGAATTTTTTCGACAAATTTTATAAAAATTGTATTGAAAATAATTGAATTCTTGTAAAGAATTATGAAAAATAATAGAATTATTGGAAAGAATTGTATTACATTTTTTTTAAATATTTGAATTGTTTCGAAAAATTTTATTTAAATTTTTTGATAATAATTAAATTCTTTCGAGGAATATAAGTAAAATAGTATTGAAAATAATTTAATTTTTTAAAAATTCTAATTACTGTTAGAAAAAGAATTTTAAATTTCAAAAATAAATCAAGTTTCAAAGAATTTTAATTCAAAATTGAATTGAATTTTTTTAGTAATTATTTTTCTAAAATTGTTTAATAATTTAATTTAATTTTTTTATTAATTAAACTTTTTTTAATAATTATTTTCCTAAAGTTTTGAACGTTTAAATGAACAAAAATTTTTTTCGGTTTAAATAAATATTAAAATATTAAAATATTAAAATTAATTATTCTAAAAAGGAAAATATTGATTCTAAAATAATTATTTGGAAATTTTTTAATTATCATTTTATTATTTATTTTATTTAAATTTTCTGTTATTGGATTTTTAATCTACGAAAATAGAAAAAAAGCGAATAGCGAAAACTTTAAAAGAAACAACTAAAAATTTCCCCAATACAGAGAAATTTTTATCTGTTTCAGTTAAAAAAATTTTTTCCCCATAATAATAAAAATAAAAATAATAGAAAAAAATAAATTGATCTCAGCGATAATAATACCATTAAAAAAGTAATTCTAAAAGAAAGAAAAAATAATAGAGTAATAGGAAACAAATAAAAAACAGTGAAAATGCCCAACGATAATAATAAAATTCCTAACTCACACAATAATTCCAGTCGTTAAAAATCGAGAAACTCTTTTAAATAAATAAGCAAAGTAAAATAAAAATTAAATGGAATTTCTGATTGTACATAAAATAATTCTTCGAGTTCTAGATTTGTATCGACTTACTAAGACGTTATGTGGTCGAATGATTAGCGGTAAACTGTGAAAATAACGGCTACTGTACCATACGGCGGAAGAAGGGTATAATACTTGCCAGTATAATACATTTGACGTTCATTGACCATATCAAAAAAAAAAAAAAAAAAAAATTGGAAAAAAAATTCTAAACAAGGGTTTAATTCTTATTCTGATAAAAAAAAAGTTATTAGCAACGTGAAGCAAAAAACAAACATTTTCTTCTCGATAAAATGTCTAATTGAGATAGAAACAGTTATAAATTAATTGAAGTCTACGTCTCTAAAATAATTATATCCCCCCCCTCCCCCCTCCATCCAACTTTTCTAATATCGAAAGAATTAAAATTGCGCATATTCTTATAATGATTAATTCCCGTCTTACTTATTTGCTCGCATTCTCTTCAGATCCATTTGCATTGTATTATAAATATTTTAACAGTATTTTTATAATTAATTAATATTATACAACATTGTTAATATAATTAATACAATTTATATAATTAATACAATTACTATAACTAATAAAATTAATAAAATTAATAAAATTACTAATTAATAAAATATTATTGAATATTAATTATTTTTTATTCCCTCAAAACGGAAAAAAATATAAGTAATAAAAAATAAAAAATAAAATATTATTTAATATTTTGTTTTATTCCCTTTCACTAAAAAAATTATTTGCAGCAAATGGTTTTTATTTCAGTAAAATGATGTATTTGGTTCAAATACTGAATTTATTGGTTCAAATATAATTTCTTCTTCTCAGAAACAATTATTTTTATAATAATTGATTTCGAAAGTTCTTCGAGAATTCAATTATTTAATTATAAAAAATCAATTTTTTTATAATAATATTGTAACTGAAACTCTTCATGGTTTTTTTTTCATAAAGATCATTAAAAAGAATTATTTTCAATATTTTACTAAAAAATATTGCAAATAATTAAATTAAAAATTTACAATGAAAAAATTACTAGGAATTAAATATTTAAAGAAAAAATTATTCAAATTCAATTTTTTGAAGTTAATTTCCATTCATTTTTATTTTCAAAATTTTCAATTGAAGATTTTTCATGAAAATTCTTGAGAATTGAATTATTTTCAAAATTTACAATTAAAAATTAAAATTCTCCAAGATTTGATTTTAAAAAATTTTAATGGAATACTTTTAAAAAAAATCAATTGCTTACAAAAATATTTTTTGTAAATATTTGGTAAATTACAATTAAAAAATTTCTAGGAATTAAATACTTTTTAAAAAAATTATTTAAATTCAATTTTTTGAAGTTAATTTCCATTATTTTTCATTTTCAAAATTGTCATTTGAAGATTTTTCATTAAAATTTTGGAGAATTCAATTATTTTCAAAATTTGCAATTTAGTTCAAAATTTTCAATGAAAATTCAAATACTTATTTAAAAAATATTTAATATAACTTTTTTGAAGTTAATTTTAATTAATTTTCATTTTCCAAATTTTCGTTTGAAGATTTTTCATTAAAATTCTTGAGAATTGAATTATTTTCAAAATTTAAAATTAAATTTCTCAAAGATTTGATTTTAAAAAATTGTAATGGAATACTTTTAAAAAAATCAATTATTTACAAAAATATTTATAAATATTCGACACAATTTAGTAGAAAAAAAATATATTGTAACTTAACTCTAACGAAACGTTTCAAGTTAAAAAAAACTCTATGTAAAAAAATAATTATCTCGGTTTTTTTAAATACAGAGTACTTTAAAGTACCTTTTGTATTTTTCTACAAAGAATATTTATTTTAAAGTTGGCACTTTTAAAATAAGAAACCTTCATCGAAGAAAAATGACAACAATTAAAATTATTTTTATACCGAAGAACACGTGGTATATCCGGCTATTCTTATACCTTATCTGTAAACTCGTATAGTTGCCTCGTTAAATATTATTGTATTTTTTTACATTTTTTTTACAAACACGATAATTAAAATATTAACAAAAAAAAAAATTTAACTGATAAAAAGAAGGACAGAATAATTTATTTTCCCTATAAAATATCAATGGTTAAATTTAGTAACAGATTGAAAGTGAAATGAGTAATCATTTCGTAACACCCTGATGCACTTGACTCGAGTGATTATTCTCTTTTCTTGGTATAGGTCAATATCCACATTCCAAGAATCGGAAAATGGAGAAAATTTTTCAAAAACCTCAATAATTAAAAAAAATTTCAAATTTTCCTTTTTTAATTGCTTTCCTATTTATTGTTCTGCCAGTGAATAAAATTAACCTCGAGAAGATAAATATTTAGCGAAAGGAGGGAAAAAAAATGAACAGAAATTCTATTTGCCGAGATCTTGGAAACGAAATTTAATTAACAATTTGAATTAATTAAATATTTGAATAGCATTTGCTTGCGTTTCAAAAAAAAAAAAATTTTTTTTCACTCCTTTTCTCCAATTTGTTCTCTTTTTAATTTTTCTTTTCCTTTTTTACCTTCATTAAAAATGAAACTTGTATTAAAAATAAATGACTTTCAGTTGATAAACTTAAAAAGAATATTTTTATTTTTTTAATTTAAAATTATTAATTAAATAATTTAATTAATAATTTTAAATTATTAGTTAAATAATTTAATTAATAATTTTGTTGATCAAATTAAAATTTTTATTTTTTAATTCAAAATCGAGGGAGAAAAAATACAGACAACAAATTTTACTATTGCTACTGATAAGAAAAGGAATAAAAATCCCTGTCTTTGTTTTAAAATCAAATTTTTGAATTTCAAATTAAAGTAATTGAATAATTATTTTTTCGTTTATGTTAATTATTTAACTTACCAATTTAAATTAATTATTCTTCGTTGTCAGTAGAAGTTTTCGTCAAAGGAAAAAATAAAAGACAATCACAGCTCACCTGAAACAAAATAATAAAATTAGTTATTTAATTTTTTTTTATCGTTTTATACACAATATATTTATTATTTTTCTATCATTATTTATTAGAATATTTTATTTATATCTAAAATTTTTTATTTATCATTTTGTTATTAATTATTAATAATTTATTTATTTTATATTAAATTATATTTATAATTTAAATAAAATAACATTTTTTAATAAAATAGTATATTTATTTATTATATTTCAATTTTTGTTTGTTTATTAATTTAGTTATTAATAATAAATATTAATAACACCTTCAAAGCCAAAAGACATAAACTGTGTATAATAAATAAATATTAATAATAAAATAATAAAAAAAAATAAAATTAAAAAAAAATTCGTCAATTAAATTTTTTTCTTTTTCTTTCTTTGATAAAGTAAACAAACAAAAATGGTGTTTGTAAATGAAAACGGAAACCCAGTGCCCTAGAAAATGGGAGTAAAAGTGAAAACACTGTGTCTCTGGATTGATTTTTTTAAATGTTAAAAATGCGATCGACAAACCACAACAACCGAGTTGCAACCGCAACTAATTGCAAGAAGACTGTAATATTCGTCAATGGCAGGGATTTTATTGTTAGCCGTTAGTCAGGACTAGAATCAGTGTTAGATCGTGTGCATGTGGCAGACTGCTGGTGCAACGGATTTTTGCGCGAAAAAAAAAATACTCCGCAAAATGAAATGCTCACTGGAACGAACAAAAGTGCACGTTTTTCTTTCCCTCTCTCGCGACAACTAAATTATTATTTTTTTTTCTCTCTCTCTCTCATATAATATACGAATTTATCTCGTAAAATTTCCACACCTGTGAATTAAATCTTTCATAAAAAAATCTTTATCTCATTTTTTTTATTATTGCAACTGCAAGTCTCATTCGGATTCATATTTTTTTTTAAGAAACTTATAAGATTGCAAACAGTAATTCTCAAAAGTTTTTCCACAGTTCTCAAAAGTGTCACGAAAAATTTTCTCTCTGAATTGGAAAATTTGAAAAAGAAACGTTTTTCTACTTGACAATGGTTATTTCTTTTTAATTTCGAATAAATTTAATTTCAGTTTCGAAAAAATTTATTTTTGAATAAATTTCAGTTGGAATAAAATTTAATTTCGGATGAATTCAAATTCGAATAAATTTAATTTCTCCTTCACTATAATTTAAAATTCGAATAAATTTAATTGCGAATAAATTTTATTTCAAATAAACTGAAATTCGAATAAATTTAATTTCAAATAAAATTAATATCGAATGAATTTAAATTTAATGTCGAATAAATTCAAATTCGAATAAATTCAATTTTGAATAAAATTAATATCTAATTAATTTTATTTCAATGTCAAATAAATTTAATTTCGAATAAATTCAAATTCGAAAAAAATTAATATCGAATTAATTTTATTTTAATGTCGAATAAATTCAAATTAGAATAAATTCAATTTCGAATAAATTAAAATTCGATAAAATTTAATTTCGAATAAAATTAATATCGAATTAATTTTATTTCAATGTCAAATAAATTCAATTTCGAATAAATTTAATATCAAATAAATTTAATTTCGAATTAATTTAATTCCCAATAGAGTTAATATCGAATAAATTTAAGTTTGAATGAATTTAATATTGAATAAATTTAATTTCGAATAAAATTAATCTCTAATTAATTTTATTTCAATGTCAAATAAATTTAATTTCGAATAAATTCAAATTCGACAAAAATTAATATCGAATTAATTTTATTTTAATGTCGAATAAATTCAATTTCGAATAAATTCAAATTCGATCAAATTTAATTCCGAATAAAATTAATATCGAATTAATTTTATTTCAATGTCAAATAAATTCAATTTCGAATAAATTCAAATTCGAAAAAAATTAATATAGAATTAATTTTATTTTAATGTCGAATAAATTCAAATTAGAATAAATTCAATTTCGAATAAATTAAAATTCGATAAAATTTAATTTCGAATAAAATTAATATCGAATTAATTTTATTTCAATGTCAAATAAATTCAATTTCGAATAAATTTAATTTCGAATTAACTTAATCCCCAATAGAGTTAATATCAAATAAATTTAAGTTTGAATAAATTTAATATTGAATAAATTTAAATTCGAATAAGTTTAATATCGAATAAATTTAGTTTTGAAAAAATTTAGTTTTAATTTCGATTTAAGTGAATTTTAATTTTGAATAACTTAAATTTCAATTTCGAATAAATTTAATTTTAATATCGAATAAATAACAAGTGCAATTTAAAATTCGCATATAAATTTCAATTTCGAATAAAAATTATATTTTAAACACTACTCATGATAATAAATAATCAATGATAAAATAAAAAAACACAATAATCGAAGAAAAAAAATTATAAAGAAAAAATTATTTCTCAACTGAAAAAAAAATTAATTTGTGGAAAACGTTTTTTTTTTACAAAACTAACACACGACCGGATGGAAATAATGTTTATCTGACTCGTGGCGAGTGCTTATCATTCTTTAGAATGGAGAACGAGTCAAAAGTTTTTGAAATATATTTCTAAATTTTTTTTTTTTTGTATAAATTCCAAAGAGGCGGAATATTTTTTTTCGTTTATTTCATTTTGTTTTTTTTTTATAAATAGCATCCATTCGATATAAGAGAATCGTTTCTGTTAAGTCAAATGACCTCGAGAGCCATTAATGTTCTTGTTGGTTACATGCATTTCTCTTTGGCGAAAATCGAAATATAATATTGCATCAAAGTGAAAGAAGCTACACGATCTCATCCCGGACCTTTCCACACTTTATATACAATATATAGCTCTCTATCTATTTTCTATACATTGTATAAGTATAATATAAATATACGGGTTTGAAAAATTGATTGCACTCGATTTTTTTTTTACATTTTTCAGCTAAAAAATAAAAATAAACTCCGCAGATTTTTAATAAAAATTATTTTCTATCTTCGAAAAAAGAATTTTTGTTCGTTGAACAAATTGGACAAATAAACAAAATTTCGTTTCCAAATTGGATTCCAAATGAGAATTTCCATGCAAAAAAAGAATATGTAAAAAAATTTACAGAATTTTAATTAAAATTGTTTACCGACCAGGGGAGAAAATTAATATTTTCAAAATTAAAAATCTTGGCAAAACAAAATTAAAGAAATTTGTTTTCGTCTGATTTTCTGAATTTTGAATTTAAATTCTAAATTCCAAAATATTCTAAATACATAAGAAATAGAAAAAAATCGCTTCGTAGTAAATAAAATTCAGTTAAATAAAATATAAATTGAAAATAAATATTTGCACTCCCGGGAGTTATATTCTATTAAAAATTGAATGTGTCAGAATTAATTCTAATCCTCAACGTGTATCTAGTTCCTCACTCCTCGGATTACCGTCGACTAAGGATTAAAAATCCATATATGTATAATATTTATTTCTCTAGATTTTAAATCCAAAAGAAGAAATAAATGCAGGAATTTTTATTCAAATTGTAATTCGCGTCAGAGAATAATTTTTCTAAATCGAAAAATTAGAATTAGCCGCCAATTAAAATTATTGCTTATCCAATAATAATAATAATAAATAATTAATAATTATAACAATAAAAAAAATATAATAAATAAAATCAGAAAAAAAGTCAAAAAAATAGTTTATTTAATTTAGTGTTGTCACAAAAATTTTATTTTGTATTTCCCTGATTTCTCACTGATTTTTAAAATCAATTAATCAAAACTATAATAATTTTGCTAAATAACTATTTAAGTACTTCTTATTTCTTTTATCACAGGAAAAAAAATTTTTTAAATTTCAACTTCTAAAATTTAATAATTTCTAAAAATTAAAACTATAACCCTTCCAAAAATTCAATTACTTTCTACAATTATTAACTAAACTTCATCTTTAAATTAAAAATTATTTTTTAATATTTTTTCGAAAGTTCTTCGAGAATTATTTAAATACAAAATTTCAATTTTTTTATAATAATTGAAACCATTTTTCTTTTTAAAGATATGAAGGTAGAATATTTTCAAAAATTTCAATAAAGAAATTCGTAAAATTAACTCTTTATACATATTTCTAAATAATTTTTAAACGACAATAGTTTTACAATTACATACAATTAAAAAATGTCCAAAAAATTGAAATTTGGTAAAATCTTTGAAAAAATAATTTAAATTTAGTAAAATCTTTGAAAAATAATTTAAATTTGATAAAATTTTCTAAAACTAATTGAGTTTTTAAAAAATATAAAAAAAAATAATCAAATTTTTGAAGAATTTTAATTGTAAATGGTTTCTCAAAAATTCTAAAATAGTAAATTTTTAATTTACTTTGTTCAAAGCTAATTGAATTTTAAAAAATTATGATAAAACAATTAGTTTTTTTTATAAATATTGTAATGTAATTTTTCGAATATAATTGAAGAATTGTTGTATAATTTTTAAAAAAATAATTTTTTGAAGGATTTTTTTTAATTAAAAATTTTGAATATGATTATTTTCTCCAAAATTAAATTTGTATTGCAACAATTTTGAGTTGCAGTAAAAAAAAAAATATTTTTAACTAAAATTTCGAAATGTAAAATTTTAATTTTTAATTTTTACTGCAATTTTTATTGCAAAACTTATGAAATTATTCTTAATAAAAAATATTTCGTTCATTTGAACGTTCAGAAATTGCGGAACATAAAATGTTTGAAACATTGAAAATATTGAAAGTAATTGAATTTTAAAAAATTAGAACGAAATAATTCAGAGAATTACTTTTTTCAAAACTATTTTAATATTATTTTTAGAATTGATTTTTAGATTTTATTGTCATTTTTATTAAATTTACACTTGAAGATTTTTGATTAAAATTTTTGAGAATTCAATTATTTACAAAAATTTCAATTAAAATTCTTTAAAAGTTAATTTTTCAAAAATTGTAATAAAATACTTGAAAAAATGATTTATTTTCAATTTAATTTTACAAAATTTC